AGAGAGAGAGAGAGAGAGAGAGAGAAATGGGGCCAATCTCACAATGGAGTTGAATCATGTAAACAAACTCCTGGACCCAGATTACGATTTGGACCACATACCGTTGGAGAAGTTACATAGTTAAAGAGCAGACAGATCACAGTCTAGCATCACTATTATTTCACCAAATTTAGACAGCTTAAGCTCCTGGCTGCAGAAGAATGGTAAAGCCAGTCTTCCAGTGGCTTTTCCCTTTGTTGCTCTATGTCCAAGCCCAAAATACTGAGCAGATAATATATTAGTTGCCCTGTTTAGTTGTCGCAAAGCCTGACAAAATCACACATTTTAACTCCCTTTTCACACAGACTCTACAATGATTTAAATATGCAGTTAACTGGAAAGCATGGAGGGTGCAAGAGGGCTGTCACCACCTACACCTAGGCCCACTACAGAGAAGATGGAAAGTGATACAGAATACCACAGAATGTGGAGGCAGCAAATCACATTGAAGTAAGACAAGTAAGATGTAGGGATGGTCATCTCATTTTGATTTTCAAGAATTTAGGAACATTACCTGAAACACTTACTGTTTAAAAAGACAGTTTAAACATTTAAAATTCGTTTAAACATTTCACTGCTTCTGTCCCTTTAGTGGTCCCACATGAGCAACTGAAATACAGCCTTCATTTTATAGGAAGGCTTTCTGCAAGATTGTTTAGATGCAGGGGTTTGCTCCCATTCAGCCAAAGGAACCACTTGTGTTGGGAGATCTGGCACACAGTTAGTGATAGAATTCCTTGTTTGTTTGTTTGTAAGTTGGTTGATTTGTTCAAAAAGTAATGAATCGATTTTGATCAATTTTTTGGAGAGGTAAGGTATGGCCGCCAGACCAATCCATTAGATTCTGGTGCTGATCCAAATCGTAATCTGGGTCCAGAATTTTTTTTTACGTGATTCAACTCCATTGTGAGATTGGCCCCATTTCAATATGTTTGCTTCTAACTACATACATAATGCCTAGAATGCCTGGTCAAAAGTTGTAAGATAACATCCACATAAGATGTACCACAAACAAAAGTGTGATCTGGATTCAAGCAATATTCAAGATCTGCTGATCCAGAATGTTCAAATTTACATTGGTCACAAGAAATTTGGTACTTGGAGACAACAAATAATGCTACAGATTTGCTTCAATAAAGATCAAATTCCATCTGAAACTCTGCTTACGCAGTATGGTGTCAAGAGATTTGACCTATCTTCAAAGGTTACTGAGCTAGATCCTGAAAAAAACACCATTACTCAAATACTGTTTTTTTTTTGAATGACTTTAAAACTAATAATGACATTAACATGATTCCAAATACCATGGCTAGGTTTTCATGGTTAAGGAATCATTATGAGGGTCAAACTATTATGGCAATATTGCCTTTAGGTGGAATAGTATTATGGGGACAGCGAACTGCCTTGGCAGAGGTTTACGCCCTCTGAGTGCTGTCTAGTTCAGAAGGTGTTGAACTGGGTTGAGGTCGAGGCTTTCGTCATTCCAGTCAGTTGTTCGCACCAAAGAGGGAAAACCACTGTCATGCTCTCAGTTTGCTGCCACATTTTTGTAAGTAAAAAAATGTCTCAAACGTCTAAACTAAGATTCCTAGCCCAAACCATGAAAAGCGTCTCCAGTCCAAAAGTATGTGGACACCTCTGTCCACATACTTTTAGTCATATTGTATACTGTTGGTGGCTTTAAAATTGGAACAAAATGACATTTGCCTAAACTGGGGCAGAATCTTTTGATAGAGATGTTATTGAGTATTGTTAACGTTTCATGGGAAATACTTAATCCATATAATGTACTGTATAACTGTGAAGGCCCTGGTTCAAATCTGCCAGGGAACCTGTTGAGCATCATCCATATTTCTTATATTTCAAAGATATCAGCCAAAATTAATTCCTAAAAAAGAGTCTAATAAATGTATCCCATTTTTCACCAGGATGCAGTTAGTTCATTGAGTTCATCTAAATAGTTCGTCTAAAGCACGTGTCAAACTCGAGGCCCGCGGGCCACATTCCTACCCGGCGTACAATTACATCTGGCCTGTGAGATCATTTTATATATCTTTTTTTTAATGGCCCAGTGATATGAAGCACCAGTAACACACAAACTACAAATCCCATAATGCAGCGCAACAGCTGCCTTACCAAAAGATAGGCTACCTGCGATCATTCCCGCGTCAATTCCGTCAGATCAATCAAGCGTCTGTTGATGTATACAACCCTAATTTCAAGTCAAAGCTAGCCCCTAACAATGGCCAAGAGAAAAGTTGATTCTGAAAACAGAGCCTTTCTAAACCGGTGGGAGGCTGAGAATATG